CCATGAAAGCCTTCGACAATACTTACTAAAATACTTTGGAGTAAACTACTCCAGATACAGCATGGGGAGTCTGCACTTACCGAGAAGTATCTCAAGGCTCTTTATGGGCAACCAATGCAACAGCATATCAGAACCAGTACCCTGCTTTTGTGAGGAGCAGCTTTGCCACTGTTCAAAGCATCTCCTTGGCAGAGCCTTGCTGCTATGTTACTTTTGGTACCCAGCCATGTGATCTCCAAAAGTGACACCACCTATAACGCACTGGCAGCTTTTGGCTGGCAAAACAGCAGTGGATCTGTTTGATGTTGGGCACTGGATTGAGCTAGATCCAGCCCAGTCCAGCTGTCCCCAGCTCAATAGACACTAGGATCACTTGGAGTTTCCTGGAAGTTGCAGAGTAAATTCCAGTTCTCCTTATCCTGGATTAATGGCCAGACCAGAAGCAGTGTTTCTCCTATGAAAGCAGGCATACATCATTTTTTTTCATGTCAGGAGCGAATTGAAAAACTGCAAGTCGCTTCTGGTATGAGAGAATTGGCTGTCTGCAAGGACTTTGCCCAGGGGACATTTATCATCCTTGTGGGAGGCTTCTCTCATGTCCCTGCTTGGAGAGCTGGAGCTGACAGAGGGAGCTCATCTGCAGCCTGTCGGTCTTCAGTCCTGCTGGCACAAGGGTTTAACCCATTGTGCTACTGGGGGCTCCTATACATCATGTTGAATTCCAGCTATAGTTGATTTCACTTTATTTATCCCTTGAAATTATAGCATATGATGATTCCTGGTACAAATAGTTTTTTCCCCCAATTATTGTTGTTAGCATATAGATCTGTTTTGTTTGTTTTTTTAAACTCTGTTTGAATCTGGCAAAGTGCATATCATCCCTATGGTTACAGATACCAATTGGGTGCTGTATCCTAGACTGATCTGACATTTCTGAATAGTCTCTAAAGGCAGCTGCAAGTGCAATGTTGGAAAAAGGTCTCATGTGGATATCACTAGGGCATGGATGCAAGTGACAAGGCTGTTTCTGTCCAGAAGCAGTTGTACGTGATGTTTCATTCTAAGCCAGGGAGGAGCTGCAGAGGGTATTTCAGACTTTGTGCCAGCTGTACTTGGGAGGGGGAGCCTGGGATATCTTTGCTTTCCTTACAGAGGAGTGTCCAGCTGATTTGCCCTTCTTTACTGTGCCCTTCTCCATGTATTCCTCAACTATTTTGCAAGGAAGAGAATGTACTTCATTTTGTACTAATTTGATTCCAGAGCATTGTCATGAGTGTTTACAGCAGAAGTCAGCAGCTCTGAAAATTGAGGCTCTAAGGGAACATATTGGGCTATTGCAACCCATAAAAATTCACCAAAATTTGAATAACAAAATGCTCTCTGGACACCCTACGGCAGTGGTTCTCAACTTTCCTAATGCTGTGATCCCTCAATACAGTTCCTCATGTTGTGGTGACCCCTAACCCTGAAATTATTTTCGTTGCTACTTCATAACTTTAATTTTGCTACTGTTGTGAATTGTAATGTAAATATCTGATGCGCAGGATGTATTTTCATTCACTGGACCAAATTTAGCACAAATACCCAATATGCCCAAATTTGAATGCTAGTGGATTGGGGTGGGGGGGGGGCATTGATTTTGTCATCTGGGAGTTGTAGTTGCTAGGATTTATAGCTAACCTGCAATCAAAGAGCATTTGGTATTCCACCAACGATGGAATTGAACCAAACTTGGCACACAGAACTCCCATCACCAAGAGAAAGCACTAGAAGGGTTTGGTGGGCACTGGCCTAGAGTTTGGGAGTTGTAGTTCACCTTCATGCAGAGAGCATTGTGGGCTCAACAATGATGGATCTGGACCCAACTTGGCATGAATACTCAATATGCCCAGATGTGAATATTAGTGGAGTTTGGGGAAAATAGACTTTGACATTTAGAGTTGTAGTTGCTGGGCTTTATAGTTCACCTACAATCACAGAGCATTCTGAACCCCACCCACGATAGAATTAGACAAAACTTCCCACACAGAACCCCCACGACCAACAGAAAATACTGTGTTTTCTGATGGTCATTATTGACTCCTCTGACATCCCCTTGCGACCCCCCAGGGTTCCCAATCCCTAGGTTGAGAATCAATGCCCTACAAGGTGTGGGAAGCAATTTTGTCATGTTTTCATTGGAGCTGGTGGTATCAAAGAGCCCTTTTTTGAAACAGGAAGTGACTTGGAAGTGTTTGAAGTCAAATTTTCTTCCAAAACAACAAAAAAATGGTGGAACTGGGTGTCACAAAATGATCTTGGAGGCTTCATGGGGACTGCATTTTCCTCATGTCAAAGTATAGGGTGCTTTCGGTTCAGCAAGTCGTGAGGCACACTTTACTCAAGACTAGTTCTTGTCTGGTTGGCTGAATGACACAGTTCATTTTACGCTTTTACAAACCAATTCATGACAGCTGCAGTGTGAGAGAACATAATGAATAAATAAATAATGAAAATTTGGATAAAGACATATAAACAATATTTGCATTCTTTTCCCCCTTATTTACCACTATGCTCTTTGATGCTCATTTCTTTCTCTTTTCTCCTAAAGCCTTTGAACATTTGTTTTAAAACACTTTTCGTCTGTGTTCTGCTTGCAGTCTGATGTTGACAGTTTATCAGAACATGCTTTAAATAGAGAAGAGAAGCTTCACTGTTGTTCATTCAAAATACCTAACAGCTGCTGCAGCTATTATTAACTGGCAATGTTGTCTCCGTGTTTTCTGAGAGGGTCATCAAAGACCCATGCTGTCACCTACCAACTTCTTAGCAGACAGAGAACAAGTTTTATTCATGAGTTTTTAAATTTCCTTGTTTGAAGCTAAAGCAAGTATAACTTTCATTGTTTCATTTGTTTCCAAAGAAGTAACTTTATTAGTCTCTTCCAGACAGTATACAAAGGAGGAATTGAGGGGGGAAAAATGGAATGGGGCAGGGCCTGATTCTGGCATGAGCTTTCATGGATATAAAAACACTTCTTCAGATGGATCTCAAATACAATCAAAGAAAGTCCAAGCTTCTAAAATATATGGATGTAGTAAATTAATGATGGTTTGTTAATGTCTAAAAGTATACTTTGTACATGACTACGGACTGACATTAAATTTCACTGCAGGTGTTATAAAGCCGTGGTTGTAAAACAAAATTTCATACACAAGAGGTGAGTCAATGAGCTAACAATAGCTTCTCTAGCTCAGTGATAAATCATGTTGCACTGGTTTTGCAGATTCCTTACTCCTACAGTACAGCCGGACATTCTCATATGTATGATTAGTAAGCCTGTCTTCATACAGATATTTTGAAGCAGAATACGTTAACCTGGTTCCCTACATATCTTCACTTATGAAAGTGAAAGTAAAGTACTAACAAGTTCCTGTATAGTTCCCATTTGTTGCAATGGGGCTACTTCAGAAGATTGCCATTATGCACGTCTTTGCATGATTGGAAAGAGGGAAAAAAATCTCAGTTACCACCCTAACATGAAAATTGTATGGGCATTTATTTATATGTGAAATAAAATGAAAATAAAGCCAATAAAATCAAATAATAATAATAATAATAATAATCTTTATTTATACGCCGCTACCATCTCCCCAAGGGACTCGGTGCGGCTTACATGAGGCTGAGCCCACAATACATCAATAATAAAACAATAGCAAACAAACAATACAAAACAGTTAAAATACATCTCATAAACAAAAATAAAATAAAATATAAGCAGTACAATAACACAACAAGCATTTAAAACCTATGGCATGAGCAAGGTAGGATATAACTGGGATGGAAATTTTCAGAGGGATAGGGCATGCAAATCAATCAATCCTAAATAATGGAAGTCATGACCTTGAGGTTTTAGTATTAGGGGGTCCCGTGTGCAATGCATACTTACTTTTGCTACAAACCTTAGTAGAGGTAAAGGGAAAGGTTTCCCTTGACATTAAGTCTAGTCGTGACCGAAGGAACCACAAGGGCCACCCAAACTCAATGTTATTTTATTAAAAAGGTAAAGGTATTACAATGGAATAAAGTTTCCCTTCATGGTTCATATTGGAAAGTATGTCACACTCAAGGTAATAATAATGATAATAATAATGATAATAACAACAACAACAACAACAACAACAACTTTATTTGTATCCCACCACCCCTCTCCCCATAGGGGACTTGGAGCTGCAACATCATAAAGGCATTAAGTCTAGTTTTGTCTGACTTTGGGGAGGGTGCTCATCTCCATTTCTAAGCTGAAGAGCTGGCATTGTTGTTAGACACTTCCAAGGTCACGTGGCCAGCATGACTGCATGGGGCACCATTACCTTCCTGCCAAAGCCTTAAGCAATTAATTTTATTCTGGTTTAGGGGGGAAACAAAAGACAAGTGAATATCCTTTTTTTCAGCAAAGTTGCTTCCCTCACTTTCTGCAAGTGAGGAAAGGGGGCTAGTCACACATTCAACCTACACTCATTTTTTTCCTCAATGAGCTGTTCCTTCACTACAGTCTGAAATTGCAAGGGGAAGGGAAGGGCATTGAATATTTTCATATATAAGGAAACATGGATTAATTTTCTGTTTTGCAGTACTTGGAAACTTTTTACTAGTATTGTGTATTGGTTGGTCATTTTCTTTCTTTAGCTTTAGCAGAGACTAAAATAGTTCTGTTCCTGCTATTTCTCCTGGTTTATTAATTAAAGGTTGAGTATTCCTTATCCAAAACAGTTGGGACTAGAAGTTATTGGGATTTCTGTTTTTCCCTGAAGTTTTTAAAAAAATATTTGCATTGACCTAATGAAATAGCTTGGAGATAGTACTCAAGCTAAACACCAAATCTATTTATCATTCACATAGCCTGAGGGTAATTTTATACACAATATTTGATAAGTTTGTTCATGAAATAAACAGTGACCCTTATTAAATGTTGATGCCATAGTAATATTCATAATTTCATAATTTCCCTTTTTCTCTAGCAGATGGTACGTGAACAGTATACTACAACAACACAAGGTACAAACGTACAGAGGCCAGAAACTAAGTATCTCTTCAATGTTGGCATTTATGGCTGGAGAAAACGTTGCCTTTACCTATTTGTCCTCCTCCTGATCATTCTCCTAGTTGTGAATCTTGCTTTGACAATATGGATCCTAAAAGTGATGTGGTTTTCTGCAGTAAGTATCCTATCTCAACTTTCATGCACTTAAAAAAATTCCAATCCAATGGTATTAACTAGGGTTGTGTGTGGAAGCATTTTCCTTTGTTTCATCCATTCTTTCATTTTGTTACCTTCGGGAGTATGTAAGGGGAAGACCTCTCCCGGTACAAAAATAAGCTTGACATGAAAGCAAGTGGGAGCTGATGCTGGCTCTTTGCCTGCTTTTCATGAGCAACCTCCTTGTCTTGTGTGTGTGTGTGTGGCATGCAGGCCCGGAAAGCATGTGCGCCTGCCTGCAGCCAAGCGCCTCCTCTGAAGTAAGAGAACTTGCCTACTTGCCTTTGAAAGTATATATGGCATGCCAGCCCCGAAAGCTTGTGTGCCTGCCTGCAGCCAAACACAGTCAGGCAGTGAACTTGCCTCCTTGCCTTGGAAAGTATATATGGCACGCCAGCCCTGAAAGCTTGTGTGCCTGCCTGCAGCCAATGCCTCATTTGGAGTAAACTTGCCTCCTTGCCTTGGAAAGTGTGTCTGGCATGCAGGCCCAGAAAGCACATATGCCTGCCTGCAACCAAGCACCTCTTCTGGGGTAAGCTTGCCTCCTTGCCTTTGAAAGTGCGTGTGGCGTGCAGGCCCAGGCCCAGAAAGTGTGCACGCCTGCCTGCAACCAAGCATCTCTTCTCTAGAGTAGTGCTTAAATGCCTAAAATGACAGGAAAGGGAACCTGGGAAGCCCCTCACCTCACATAATGGTCTCATAGAAAACTGATCTTTTGGCACCCCAGAGCAAAAACAGATACCTGCCCTCCCGATTTCTGGAGGCTCCCAAAAAAATGGATCAGGGCCCCCACCGAAAGCTGGGACACAAAACGGGTCCAGGTGTATCCCGAATGCACAACCCTAGTGCTAACCTGGCAACAGTTCGCTAGCTTTCTGTCACTGACATCCGCACGTGCTAGTTTGCCTTATATTTTTGGCCATTGTGGAAGCTGTTACTTCTTTTTCACTTTTACAACAATAAAAAAAGTTGCTACCTTGTCCCCCAGAGCTCATAGATTTGCTGTGAACAGCTCCCTTGAAAAGCCATTCCAAGAATGGTGGAGAGCACAGGATGGGACTAGAGATTCATCAGACTAGATTGCTGTAGTTGACCTTGCAAAACTACAACACCCATGATTCTACAGCATTGAACCATGACAGTTAAAGTGGTATCAAACTGCATTTATTCTGGGTTGTTGTAGGTTTTTCAGGCTGTATGGCCATGTTCTAGAAGCATTCTTTCCTGGCCTCTGAAGATGCCTGCCATAGATGCAGGTGAAATGTCAGGAGAGAATACTTCTAGAGCATGGCCATACAGCCCAAAAACCTACAACAACCCAGTGATTCTGGCCATGAAAGCCTTCAACAATACATTGCATTTATTCTATTGTGTAGATGCACACTAAGACAAGCTTTCCCAGCTAATACTTTTCTCTTTAGGCAACTTGTTAAAATGGTTTTGCATTAGAACATGCAAATATACACAACTCTCTCTTGGCAGGATATGAAGGCAATTCACAACTGTAGATTATGGAACAAAATCTCAACGAGATTAAAACGCCCCATCCCAATTAATGACATTTAACCCTGCCCTCTTTTTGGCAGTTATTTTAATTCTGATGTAGGATATTCTCAGTGATGACATGATCTCCCATAATAATGCTAGGACTCCCTTTGCTTGTGAAATGCTCCCCCTCCCACCTCACCCCCATCTTGTCATTTAGATTCCTGTCCATCCAATACTTGGGACAAATGCATGTCAAACTCTGAAAAATCAATTGAGCAAGAAAGTTGTGGGGTTTTTTTATCATTACAGAATGGAATGGGATACTTACAAGTTCACAGTGAAGGAGTCCGTCTAGAAGGAGAGTCCGAATTTTTATGTCCTTTATATGTCAGAGAAGTCCATTCTAGAAAGGTAAGTAAGGCTGGGACACTTTGGATGTCTAATTCAGCTCTGTGGGATCTACAGAAAGATAAACACATACAGGAAGGGACTCTAAGTCTGGCTCTACACTTAAATAATTGGGGTAAACTGCTCCAGAACTGTCCTGATACAACTCAGAAACATTCCCAGAGTCCTTTTGGTGTCTAAACAGGTGCCCAAGCTGAAAGCACTGCCAGAAACAGTTCCCTTACTGAGGCTTGCTGGCAATGTTGTTTCTGCTAGTCTTATGGCTGGCCACTTGTTATGACTTCATCAAAGCAATGTGTCCAGTTCTGGGCAACACAATTCAAGAAGGATAATGACAAGCTTGAACGTGTAGAGAGAAAGGCAACCAAAATGATTAAAGATTTGGAAGCCAAGTTATATGAGGAGCAGCTTAGGGAACTGGGTTAAACCCTTATGCCAGCAGAACTACTGACCGAGACACATCAGCGGTTCGAATCTGGGGAGAGCAGATTGGGGTAGCTCATTTATCTGTACGATATGCTTTATGATATTAATTGCTGACCATGTGTGAGTCATTCTGACTGAGAAACAGGAGCATAAGGCTTATACAAAGACCTTTTCTGTTTCCAAAAGCCCTTGGTATTGGGTCCCGACTTTTGGTTTTCATGAAAGGCTGATTTATAATGAAAGAGGCCCTTGTGCAAATGCTTCCAAGAATGCAAGACGTGGGCCACTGCTCTATATTTACTCCTAGTCTTTTCAGAATCTAAAATGAGTAAGAATTATGCTGAATCCCTTTCCTATTGTCATGGTGGTTTTTGTACATAATTTTCAACTCAGTAGCATTACCCCTGCAGTTACCATGCCAAAGTCTGTTTGTCTTCCTAGACAAAAGTGTGTGCACACCCACACATAAACACAAAATAACTTTGCTTCAAATCTTTGATTTCATTGACAGACCATTAATGTATTTTCCATTGCTTTCACAATATTGTTGTGCTCATTGTTGCGGTGGCAGGAGCCTCCAGTGGTGCAATGGGTTAAACCCTTGTGCTGGCAGCACTGACAGGTTGGAGGTTCGAATCCGGGGAGAGCGTGGATGAGCTCTCTCTTTTAGCTCCAGCGCCCCATGTGGGGACATGAGAGAAGCCTCCCACAAGGATGGTAAAACATCAAAGATCTGGGTGTCCCCTGGGCAATGTCCTTGCAGATGACCAATTCTTGCACACCAGAAGCGACTTGCAGTTTCTCAGGTCGCTCCTGACACACACACACACACACACACACACACACACACAAAAGAAGAACTTTCTGACGATAAGCCCTGTTCAGCAGTGGAATATGCTGCCTCATAGCACAGAGGAGTCTCCTTCTCTGTAGTTTTTTTGTTTGTTTTTTTAAACAGAGGCAGGATGGTCATCTGTCAATGCCCCATATGGTCTCTTCCAGCCGTATGACTCTATGATATCACCAGCAACCCTCTATGGGGGACTGCTTTTTGCAGCAATAGGTATGTGGAAGGTGTGGCTGCTGGATCGGGCCAGATCCACTCCTATCCTATATATAACATTGGTAGGATGCAGAAATAGCATCAGGCCTAACCCCAGCAATTAGTTCCAATTATATTGCATTTTGATATTAAATCATCTTGGTAAAGATACACACAAGATGAACTGAATCAGTGGGTCTATTCTGATAAGTCCTGATTACTGCATTTAGGTAGATTGAATTGTTTTAGTAACATGTATTTATACTAATATCTATTTGTTCTATAGTTACTTGAAGAGGAAAACTATTATTAAAGTTTTCAACCACTAATGCTATGATTATTGATTGTGTTTGTTTGAACTTACTTCCAATAGTCATAGATTCATAAAATCATAGTTGGAAGAGACCTCATGGGCCATCCAGTCCAACCCCCTGCCAAGAAGCAGGAAAATCGCATTCAAAGCACCCCCAACAGATAGCCATCCACCCTCTGTTTAAAAACCTCCAAAATAGGAGCCTCCACCACACTCTGGGAACAGCTATCACAGTCAGGAAGTTCTTCCTAATGTTCAGATGGGATCTCCTTTCTTGTAGTTCGAAGCCATTGTTCCGCGTCCTAGTCTCCAGGGCAGCAGAAAACAAACTTGCTCCCTCCTCCCCATGGCTTTCCCTCACATATTTATACATGGCCCTCAGCATGTCTCCTCCCAGCCTTCTCTTCTTCAGGCTAAACATGCCCAGCTCTTTAAGCCGCTCCTCATAGGGCTTCTTCTCCAGACCCTTGATCATTTTAGTTGTCTTCCTCTGGACCCCTTCCTTCTTGTCAACATCTCCCTTCAATTGTGGTGCCCAATCCTTAAAACTTAATGCAAGTGGCAAATATAAAGACAGAATATATAAATGTCCTTTTTGGAAAATGCATCTTTTTGTGACACAGGGATAAGTGTGACCCCAGATTTCAGCAGGCACATGCTGGATTCAGGGCAGAAATATTCCAGAGTAATCAGCCCCATGTAGACATGATCTATGACTCCTGGAGATCAGGATATGAATCTCTGCTCGTAGCCTGATGAGTCATGGAAAATCATTGAGTGACAGTGGGCAAGTCACACTCATGCAACCCTTTGAAAAAAATTGGACCACTAAGATCCTAGGATAAGGATTGTGCTATATAACCAACTTTAAGGTATATAAGAGCAAAGATGATGGGGGCACACTGAATATTAATATCTTTTTTCTAAATTTTAGGATGAATCACTACATTTGCATTCTGAACATAATGTGACTTTAAATGCACGCAATGCTGATGGGAATGTTACAGGGAGATTAAATGTGGGTAGGTTTCATCTTACGTTTCTTTAATTTGCAATGTAAATGTTTTGAATCCGCAAAGAGGAACATACATTCTGGGTGAATGTCTTGTAAGATTGCCAAGATGTTTTACAAATAGCCCCTGAATATCCAAATGAACGAAAGAAAGTAAAACATGCATTTTACTTCCATACCGGAAATTTTAGAAATGTACCATTTGCTTTGATCGTTGTGTCCTCATTCACAAACTTGTTTTGAAAAATTCTCAGGAGGTCACCAATGTTCTATTTAGTCATTTTTATATGATAGGAAACATATACGTTCCCTTGAAATGGTTAGATATGGATTATTTAGCAAGTATGCATGCAAATTTATGAATACTTACTCACTCCCTATATTGGAAAAAAGACAGGATATAAATGTTTCAAATAGCAAAGATGACAACAATAACAATGCTTCTCTTACTAAACACAATGGGGTTCACCATAAGAAGATATTTTTATTATTGATTGTATGTATTTTGCTATTCTATAAGAAATTTAGGGGATGATTGATTCCCCTACTTCAATGTACCCTTTTATTTCAAAAGGCTGCCTTTGAAGATTGTTTGGAAGCTACAAATGGTCCAATGGGTGGCAGCCAAATGGCTCACCGGAACCGCATACAGGGAGCATACAATCCCCCGTTACGTCAGCTCCACTGGCTGTTAATCTGCTACCGAGCACAATTCAAAGTGTTGACTTTAGCCTATAAAGCTCTAAACTATTCTGGCCCAGCTTGACTGTCCAAACGTATCTCTCTCTATGAACCACCGCAGAGTTTAAGATCATCTGGGGAGGACCTGCTCTTGATCCCACCTCCCTTGCAGGTGTGATTGGCGAAGATGAGAGACAGGGCTTTCTCAGTGGTGGCCCCTCGCCTGTGGAACTCCCTCCCCAGTGATGTTAGATCCCCCCCTTCTGACCTTCTGCAAGAGAGTGAAAACATGGCTTTGTGACCAAGTCTTAGAGAATTTGTGCAATAGACAGACTTGGAACAATGTAAAATGCCCATTGGAACGGCCTGGATTACACTCATGCATTACGTGTTCAACTCTGAATGTATTGTTTTTAAATATTTTAATCGTTTTAATGTACTTTTAAATTCTATTTTAATATTTATTTAAGTGTACATTGTGTTTTAGGGCATCGAATTGTTGCCTGTATGTAAAGTTGCCTTGAGTTGCCTCCGGGGTGAGAATGGCAGGGTAGAAATGTTGTAAATAAATAAATACTTCATTTTCAAATGCGTGTATTTCATACCTAGGAAAATGGCACATGAATCATACCTGGATTATCCCTTGGTTTTGAAAATGCTAGATTTCATGCTTCTGAAAGCCAGCAATTGCATAATAAGATGTTAAACTGATTCACTCATCCGTTTGGCTGTAATTACTTCTGATGGGACTTGTATTCCTATATCTTATCACAGACTGGCAACTGTTGCCTTTGAAGCAGTATGAGTCCATTGACTACTACTTTAAGTAGCATTGTTATACTGCGCTGACATACATATTATACAAAGGGGCCGAAGAGGTTCTCTCACAAATCCCGCAACCACAAACCAGGGATGAGCTTGCAGCACTGCCTAGTTTGGAAGAGGTCAGCAATGTCATCAGCCAACAAAAAAATTACAAAGCCAGCAGACCTGATGGGATCCGTGCCAAAATCTTTAAAGATGGAGGACCTGAGCTTACACAACAACTCCACCAGCTCATTGAAAAAGTATGGGTGACCGAGAAAATCCCAACAGATTTCAAGGATGCCACTATCATCAACCTTTTCAAAAAGAAAAAAAAAAGGGGGGGGGAGAACAGACCTCGGAAACTATCAAGGTATCTCTCTTCTAACCTCTGCTGCGAAAATCCTCACAAGAATCCTTGCAAACCACCTTCTACCTCTCTCAGAAGACACCTCCCAGAATCCCAGAATAGCTTCCGGCCCTCCAGAGGAATGGTGGACATGATCTTCACTGCACGACAGCTCCAAGAACAATGCAGGGAACAAAATCAACCTCTATACATGGCATTAATTGACCTTGCAAAGGCATTCGACACAATCACAGTGCTCTCTGGGCCATCCTCCAAAAATCAGGTTCCCTGACAAATTTGTGAACATCCTGCGGCTTCTTGGATAGCAATGGCTCCCAAAGTGATCCATTTAAGGTGAAATCAGGTGTAAGGGATGTGTTATTGCCCCAACTTTATTTTCCATCTTCATCGCTATGATACAGTACTTCATCTTGTTGATAGGACGCTTCCCACCAGAGTGGAAATCATCTTTCAGACAAATAGCAAGCTATTTAACCTCAGCAGACTGAAAGCCAAAACCAAGATTACAACATCATCTGTAATAAAATTCCAATATGCTGATGACAACATCATCTGTCCTCTGCCATCAACTCCACTGGACCGGCCACGTCGTCCGAATGCCCCATCACCATCTCCCAAAGCAGTTACTCTATTTTGAACTCAAGAATGGAAAACGGAATGTTGGAGAACGGGAAAAGAGATTTAAAGATGGGCTGAAAGCCAAGCTTAAAAAGCTGTAGCATAGACACCAAGAACTGGGGAGCCCTGGCCCTTGAGCACTCTAGCTGGAGATCAGCTGTGACCAGCAGTGTGAAGAGGCACAAATGCAGAGCAAAAGGCAGAAACGTGTCAAGAGGAAGGCATGTCAAGCCAATCCCAACCTAGACCTCCTTCCACCTGGAAACTGATGCCCCCACTGCATAAGAACATGCAGGTCAAGAATAGGGCTTCACAGTCATCTACATACCCACCACCAGGACACTGTCCTAGGAGGACAATCTTACTCGGACAATGAGAGATCGCCTAAGTAAGTAAAGTATATTATAGAAAGGCATGCTATCACTGGTAGTTTTGTATGTTATCTGAAGACGGGTTTCTGTTTTTTATAGGTCCTAACTTGGTAGAATTTGATGGTCAGCACTTTCAGATCAGCTCAATGAACTTAGACAGAAAACCTCTTTTTACAGTTAATAATACTGAAGCTGCAGTGGGTACAGACAGACTTCGGATCACAGGTTGGCAATCAAGTTTAATTCTTTAGGTTAATATCTTTCATTGTTAATTACAGTTGGTCTTTCACATTTGTGGGTTTAACATTTGCAGATTTGATTATTCATCGATTTGATTAATATTGTCTCTCTAGAAATCTCTAGGTCTCCCAATGTGATTCTGTGGTCAACATTGTCAGAAGTTGATCATAGAGTCACACTGGAAGATCTTGACATTCCAAGAGAAGTAAAAAAAAAAAAAAGAGAGAGAGAGAGAAAGGAAATAGCAATGTTATGCATTTTGTACTCCTAAATGTTGCAAAAGTGAAGGGCCCACTGTGGTTGATATATTAATTAGCATAGGTTTAGTATAAGAACTTTTTATTGTATTTCATTTACTATAGTATAGTATAGGTTTAGTATAAGAATTTTTTATTGTATTTCATTACAAGAAAGTGTTGTTCATTAAGTACGACATTTCATCATGTAATAGTCACCGTCACATAATAGTCACATCCCCATTTTGGGGTAGTAAAATTTTAATTTTAATATTTCTTTGTTCACTCACCCAGATGAGTGAATGAAGAGTGCAACTGCCCTTTGGGTGCTACAGAGCTTCACTCAGCTGGCAGCTGAGTAAAGCCCCATAACACCAAGGAGAGGGGGTTGGCATGCGGGGATGCAAAGCTTCACTTGCTTGCATGCCCACCCCCTTTCCAACTACGGGACTTCACTTGGCTGCCAACCAAGTGAAGCCCCATATCCAGATTTTTTCTTTTAAACTGCATAATAGTCGCACCACTCTTTGTTCATAAAAAAAATGGAATGAAAAGTGTGACTATTACATGGTGAAATATGGCATTCCAGATTTTACCCATACTGATCTTTTTTTTTGTGGGAAGATGAATTGTCTGATGCCTAATGGCCACTCAGTGACTATCTGTTTCCTGTGTTCTAGGGAAAGAAGGAGCTCTTTGTGAACATTCTGTGGAAACACCACTTATCGAAGGTTTTAAAGGCCTAAACAAAGCTAAAGAGCTTAAGTAAGCAAGTACTGTGACATTTCTTTAGTTATTTGGGTGCATGTGGACTTGCTTGAAATATGTTTGCCTGTTATGGTTGTTGCATGGCTTCAGTTATTTTCCAGTCTATGGTGATCCTAAGGGAAGCCTATCATGGGGTTTTCTTGCCCAAATTTGTTCAGAAGTAGTCTGCCTTTGCATTCCTCCGAATCTGAAAGAGTATGACTTTCTCAAAACTGCTCAGTAGGTTTCCATGGCCAAGTTTCCATGGACCAGCCCACAACAGAGGTCCCTGTCAGCCGTCACCGCCCCCAAGTCAAGCCAGTCACTTCAAGGATACCATCCATTCCTCTTGCCCTTGGTCATCCTCTCTTTCTTTTTCCTTCCATTTTCCCAGCATAATTGTCTTCTCTAAGCTTCCCTCATTAGGTGGCCAAAGGACTTCATCTTTGCCTCTATTATCCTTCTCTCCAATGAGCAGTTGGATTTTATTTCCTAAAATATGGACTGGTTGTATCTTCTTGCGGTCCAAGGCACTCTCAAAATTGATTGTGCTTTTCTTCCATGGAAGGGAGTTGGACTGGATGGCCCATTGGGTCTCTTCCAATTCTATGATTCTAATAAGGCTAAATTAGACATGATGGCAATGCAAGCCTTAATAATAAAACATGCTAAGACCTTCCTGGGTTCCTTTTCTATGCCTTATGTATAATTACAGGGAAAATTGGGCTGTTCTTCCATGTTAAAAAGGAAAGACAGCTTTTTACTAGATTAAAAAACAAGAAACTGTTTTTCCAAGACAGCTCTGCAACTACTGCTCCAGATCCTACTATTCCCAGGGCTATTAGTATCAAGAAAGAAACAACTGTACAACACTTCAGTCTCATGCACTGGGGTAGCTCCTTTATCTGTATGATATGCTCTATGATATTAATCGCTGACCATGTGTGAGTCATTCTGACTGAGAAACAGGAACATAAGGCTTATCTGTTTCCAAAAGCCTTTTCTGTTTCCAAAAGCCTTTGGTTTTGAGTCCCGAGTGTTGGGTTTCATGAAAGGCTGATTTATGAGGAAAGAGGCCCTTGTGCAAATGCTTCCAAGAATGCAAGACGTGGGCCACTGCTATATATTTATTCCTGATCTTTTCAAAATCCAAAGTTAGAAAGAATTATGCTGAATCCCTTTCCTATTGTCATGGTGGTTTGTGCACATAAATTTCAACTCAGTAGCTTCACCCCTGCAGTTACCATGCCAAATTCTGTTCCTCTTGCTAGACAAACGCGTGTATGCACACATACATACAGATACAATAACTTTGCTTTAAATCTTTTGATTTCATTGACAGGCCATTAATGTATTTTCCATTGATTTCACAATATTGTTGTGCTCATTGTTGCTGTGGCAGGAGCCTCCAATGGTGCAATGGGTTAAACCCTTGTGCCAGCACCACTGACAGGTTGGAGGTTCGAATCCGGGGAGCGTGTGGATGAGCTCTCTCTGTTAGCTCCAGCTCCCCATGCGGGGACATGAGAGAAGCCTCCCACAAGGATGGTAAAACTTCAAACATCTGGGTGTCCCCTTGGCAACATCCTTGCAGATGGCCAATTCTCTCACACCAGAAGTGACTTGCAGTTTCTCAAGTCACTCCTGACATACACAAAAAATGTTGCTGTGGCAAATTCATCACTGGTTGGCCAACTTTCTAATTATGGGTTTATCCTTGGATGGTATAGATGCGATTCACCACCAGAATCATACCTTATTATTATTATTATTATTATTATTATTATTATTTACAGTATTTATATTCTGTCCTTTTAACCCCACAGAGGACTCAAGGCGGATTACAATGTACATATACATGGCAAACATTCAATGCCATAGACACACAACATATATAGACAGACACACAGAAGCCTTTTAACATTCCAGCTTCATGAGGGTATTCTGGCTACCAGGGGAGCTGTCGCTTCACCATCCATTTGTGACACTGATGGAGTACTTCCTCACTCTTTGCATGCTTGCTGGAGATTTTTTATGGTGTCTTAAATTAGTTAAATTAGCCTCCTCGCATCAGCGGTACCTAAATTTCCTACTTGACAGATGCAACTGTATTTCGGGCTGCAAAGGTCAACAGCAAGCTTCACAATAGTCGGAAACTCACTCTGACGCAGGCTGGCTTCGAATTCATGACCTTTCGGTCAGTATTGATCTAATGCAGCTGACTCCCAGCCAATTGCGCCACAGTTTTATAGAACATTGCTCTACTTGTAGAACTTGCCTTTTGCATCTCCGGACAATCAGAAGTACTCAAAAGAGCCAGCCACGTCAAGAAAGTCATCAGCTTAAAGGAAAATCAGCTTGTGCTCTTGCATTTTTTTCAGAATTCCAATCAGAATCAGGGGGTTAATATTTTCCAAACAAACACAAGAGATATCTATGGCAGAAATATCTAACTCTGACTGAACTGTAAATAAACTGATGCATTTTCTATTTTGTTCCCAAAGTGAAAGGTCTGCAGTGCTCTTCTGCCACCTTGTGGCATTGCAAGTGCTTCTATGAACTAATATTTTTCCTATAGCAGATAATCACTTTACTTGATATTAAGGCTTACAAATTGTGAATTAGATTTGTCATTCTACTTTCAAAACTATTAATCTTAATCCTTAAGGCATTTATAGCATCTAGGAAATATTTTAGTGAATTTGGTATATTTAAGTCATTTGAAAAAGTGTTGCTATGAATCCACATTTGGCCAACATTTTTTCCTTGTCAGTAGCAACTTGAGAAACTGCATGTTGCTTCTGGTGTGAGAGAATTGGCCGGCTGCAAGGAGGTTGGCCAGGGGACACCCAGATGTTTTGATGTTTTTCACCATCCTTGTGGGAGGCTTCTCTCACGTCCTTGCATGGGGAGCCAGAGCTAACAGAGGGAGCTCATCCACGCTTTCCCCGGATTTGAACTTGTGACCTGTCAGTCTTCGGTCCTGCTGGCACAAGGGTTTAACCCATTGCACCACAGGGAGCTCCATAACTTTTTGATGAGAATTGCATTTCCCTTCTTTAGACATCTCTTAGCACAGAATATTTAGGACTCCACAGAATAATTTAAAACACAAGAACAGTTATTTATTAATGTTGTCACCCCCAGCATCTTTGAGGTCAAGCCAGTCACTTCAAGGATAACATCCATCCATCTTGCCCTTGGTCGGCCCCTCTTCCTTTTTCCTTCCATTTCCCCCATCATCATCTTCTCCAAGCTTTCCTTTCTTCTCATTTTGTGGCCAAAGTACTTCATCTTTGCCTCTAATATCCTTCCCTCCAGTGAGCAGATGGGTCTTATTTCCTGGAGTGTAGACTGGTTTGATCTTCTTGCGGTCCAAGGCACTCTCAGAATTTTTCTCCAGCACCACAGTTCAGAAGTGTCTATCTTCCTTCGCTCAGCCTTCCATTCGGTCCAGCTCTAGCATCCATAGGTGACTATGGGGAATACCATTGCTTTAACTATGTGGACCTTCATTGCCAGTGTGATGTCTCTAGTCTTCACTATTTTATTGAGATTGGTCATTGCTCTCCTCTCAATGAGTAAAGGAATTACTTAAGGAATTAGTTATCTCCAAAAGCCAATTTAAAAATTATGCTATGACTTTTCTAATGTTAAATGCCAGCACTGGTGTTCCAGTGCAACTTGTGGGGATGAGGTAGAGGGCCTTCTCTGTGGTGGTCCCTTGGTTCTGGAATTCACTCCCCAGAGAAATTAGGCAAGCCCTCACCCTGGCAGTCTTCAGGAAGAGCCTAAAAAATTGGCTGTTTCAGTGTGCTTTCAATGAATAAACAACAATCCCTGACCTTGACCAGACCCTGCATAAAATGCCCTCGGATGAACTTTATTTCACCCTGTAGTGCAATTAAACCCCATTGTTTTGTGCCATCTGAACCTCCTTCCAGATACACTACATTGCTCATCTCACCCAGTGTTTAAAAACCGTTTAGTCTTTGCAACTGGCCCTGCCCATTGTGTCCAATTCTTGTGGTTTTATATTGCATTGTGTGTTTACTTTGTATTGTTTTTTGTATTATTATTTTCATTATATTTTATTGCTGCATTTTTATGTTGTATATTTGCTTTGTTGTAATTGTTGGGCTTGGCCATATGTAAGCCGCCTCAAGTCCCCTTGGGGAGATGGTGGTGGGGGGGGGGGACATGAGAGAAGGCTCCCAAAAGGATAATAAAAACATCAAATCATCAAGGCGTCCCCTGGGCAACATCCCTGCAGATGGCCAATTCTCTCACACCAGAAGCGACTTGCAGTTTCTCACAACCAAAAACAAACACACACCTAGCTTCAGCAGAGAGCTCTTTGCCCCACCCCAGTCATTCCACAGATATATAAACCCATTTTCCTATTTCCAACAGACCTCACTACCTCTGAGGATGCCTGCCATAGATGCAGGCGAAACGTCAGGAGAAATGCCTCTAGAACATGGCTCTATAGCCCGAAAAAACCTACAAGAACCTAGTGATTCCAGCCATGAAAGCCTTCGACAATACATTACACACATTAGGAATCACACATATACATACATCTTCCTGCTTTGCCATCTAATTGACTTTATACCTGAAGTGAGTAGCATTTCTGAAAATTCTATTTCACAAGATTTTTAGCCTTTGTTGTTAAAGAGTGCTGCTGTCTCACTAAACTACAACTCTGATAATTCCAAAACATCGGGTCAGCTCAGTTAAAACAGTGTTAAATTGCATTAATTCTGCAGTGTTGATGCACTTTCAAATATTGTTATTGCAGCATTATGCCTTAGTTCTCCAAGACTATTTCTGTTCTCTGAAGCAGACAATTGCTTGAGACTTCTCTATAAAGTCCCTGAGATTCTGCCCTATATACATTTCTACCTGTTTCTCCAATTAACTGCTGTGTTTCCAGTAGAGCTTAATTTCTGAACTGACTCCATGAAGTACACATCCTTACATTTTCCCGTTAGGCAAAAGTGATAGATAGGACACTTAGAGCCTCCACTCACCTTCTGGTATTATACTTTTATATATTTCGGTTGCGTTCTACTGCTCTTGTATGTTAGATTGCATTTAGTAACTGCACACACACACACACACACACACACACATATCGGTTTGCCTTTAGTATTACTATGTACTACTTTTTCTTTTGGTTATATGATTAACATACTTGTGTAACTTAAAGCAAGAGTCAGGTTTATGTTAGTCCGTCAGATGTTGTTGCACTGTAGCTCTCATCAGCCTCACCCAGTATAACCTGTGGTAAAGGAAGAAGGGAGTTGCAGTACAATAATTGAGAGAGTCACACATTCCCTATTCTTGACCTGAAGGCTGGTTTAGGTCTGCTGCTCCTATTACCTCCTCAGCACATTCTGTTTGGAGCTGTGTGCTAAAAAAGGGGTTTCAGACATTGGAAATACTCTTCAGAGTTTGTATCTCATTTCATACTGTCACCAATTATATTCTTTGAGCCTAGTTTCTAAAAAGGGATGTAGAGACTTTGAGATTGGAGGGCTTTTGAGTCAGACCACATTATAGCTATTACAAAGATTGTGGCTCAAGCCACAGGCCATAGGCTCTCAACTAGATAGCCTGAACTTTTGTAAAAGCAGCCATGAAAATAGCCTTAGTCTAATTTTTAAAATAATATTCATTAGCTTGAGTTCCTGGGCCATTTCTTGAGGTGGAGAAAAAAAGGAATATATGTGTCTACCTTTGTAATGGATGAATGGGCAGCATGTCTATGTATGTTTGGGTCCTGAGATAAAAGTATAATAGTAATTCCTATTCAGACATGATATGTGTTTGGGAAAGGGATAGTTTTGGATGTGTGGTTGTATACTCTTCTTGCAAGTGATTAGGACTGATTTTCTTGCTTGGTGGAACAAATTTAGACATGATTTGAGGAAATAAATGTCTAGCTTTTCTGTAAAACAGGCAGTCTGTTGAAATCAAAACTCTAGATTAAAAGGGTTGTTGTGTATTTTCCAGGCTGTATGGCCATATTCCAGAAACGTTCTCTCCTGACATGTTGCCTGCATCTATAATAATATTTATTTATTTATTTATTTATACTCTGCCACCATCTCCCCAAGGGGACTCGGGGCAGCTTACATGAGGCCAAGCCCAACAATTACATCAAAGCAAATATACAACAGAAAACAATACATCAGTAAAATATAAATAAGATAAAAAGCGATATAAGATAAGCACACAATACAAAATAAAATCACATCTATGGGAGGCATCCTCAGAAGTTGTGAGGTCTGTTGGAAACTAGGAAAATGGGTTTATATATCTGTGGAATGTCCAGGGTGGGAGAAAGAACTCTTGTCTGTTTGAAGTAGGTGTGAATCACCTCCCAACAAAGGATGCCCCCAGGCAGTAAAAAGCCAGACCTTGGAAACTGCTAGGCTATTAAATGCTAATCAAAGTGGCCAACTGCTACATTCACACCTACCTCAAACAGACAAGAGTTCTTTCTCCCACCCCAGACATTCCATAGATATATAAACCCAATTTCCCTAGTTTCCAACTGACCTCATAACCTCTAAGGATGCCTGCCATAGATGCAGGGGAAATGTCAGGAGAGAATGCTTCTGGAACATGGCCATACAGCTCAGAAAACACACAACAACCCAGTGATTACGGCCATGAAATCCTTCGACAATACATTGTAGATAAAAAGGTTGTTTTGATAACTTGGACCCTTCCTTCACCATGTATTCTTGAACACGCTGGCTTTTAACCTTGATGGCCAACCATAGTGATGAACACTACAGCCATATTGTGATGGCATCCATGACATTGGGAAATCCTACTCCAGGAAAATCAGTATAATGAATGCTGAAGTAAGTTTTAAAATTCCCACTTTCTTGAGATAGTCTCATTTCCCATCTTCTGGTTACTTTCAGACTTGAGTCACCAACTCGGGCGCTAAGAATGAATGCTCCACGAGGAATTCAAATAAAAGCACAACCTGGAACGATTGAGGGTTCTTCCCATTTGGATATCAAGCTCCACAGTAGTGAAGGAACGGTGAGAATGCAATTGTTTCTTTATTAACATACAACCTAGTTGCAGCTGTTGCCACACTGATGTTGCCACCTGCTTTCATTTGGGTTGTGTCCTTGCCAATTTTAGATCATGCTGATCTGTGCTGGAGTCCCATTGTTACAAGTTGACAGAATGCACACAACACAAAGAAAAAAGTAATGGTTTAATGGCCATATAGGAAGTAAGGCATTTGTGTCAGAATTCATATAGGGGCACATGTCTCTTACATATGCAGATGTGCTTTTTTCAAAGTGCTGTGGTTGATATCCTTATCCTCTTCATAGTGCTCCACAACTTTTTCCAAACACACTATGACATCCCAAGACAGGATTGGGGAAATCTATAGTAAGCCCCCCCCCCCGCCCCCAATAACCAAACACATGATTATAGAAGGGCCGAGATTCCTCCATTCTGACTTCTCAGTATTTGTTATCACCATTGTGTCTGGCAACAGCAGAAACAGCCAGATCTTCTCTGATCCTGCCTACTTCCCATGAAGCACAAAACAGCCATAGAAGATGGCTTTGGAATTTTATAGTAAGTGTGTTGAGAGGTGATATATGCCTCAACGTAGCATAGTTCTGCATGTGGCATTTTTACATTGTACTGAGATACAGTGTTCTCTCACTAAGCATGGGTGTTCCGTTCCAGGACCACCCGCGATAAGTGAAAATCCGCGAAAGAACAGTTTCAATATCAGAGGCCATACAAAAAAAATCTGTCAAAAAGAAAGCCCTGTTTTATCTATTCACCATTCAATCTCTCTAGGTTGAGATAAACAAGAGATCCTCCACTAAGGATTTCAAATGTCAGGCAGATTTATACAGCAGGAGGTGGTCTTTCGAACAAGCTGTCCCAAAAACATTTAGGGCTTTATCCACCAACACTACTTGCTTGAAACCAAGTTGAAGGTGACTTAATAATTTCAAACACAGTCCACTTGGTGAGGATTTGTATCCACATATACAATTCGTTGTTGGGCTGGGTTAAAGTATGGAGGGAAGTGGTATTTTCTGGTGATGGGCACAGAAACATGTGTTTATGTTCATCCTTTCCTGAATACCTGTGTGAGTACTGCATCGATTAATACCCAATCATGAACTTCAATAAAGTACACCATTTTTCAGTCTAGTTGACTCACAGACTTGTGTAGTTAAATGGAATGAAATATCACTCATCACTTTCAGCTCCTTAGAGGAAAAGAGGGACATAAATATAAACATAGAAAGAGTAGCAGAAGCAACATGTAGTGTTTATTCTTTTGGATATAATTTCATGCTTGTAAGAAAGTTAAGGTACTAAATCAGAGTCTATTCTAGTTTAGCAAATTCAAGCTCTATGAAATTTCTCCATCACGAGGTCGTTTTTCAGTATGTCTTCTCTGGACTATATGTATTATTTTACTTGTGAATGAAAGAATATGTCATCTTCAAACTAGCATTTTAAAAATTGGTACTGTAACTTGCGGGGGGGGGGGGGGTTCAGATATATAAGGTGCCCATTCTATAAGGAGCTTGCTATATCTCCATCTACTTTTAAAGTGTTAAATGGCCTAAATATTTTCTCTTTACTAAAACTCTCTCAAATAGAAAGAAATTGTACAAGGAGACACATGTGGCAAACATTGAACAGTTGAACTGTTCTTGCACTAATTGACTCCTACATGAACTATTAAGTCTGTTCCTTTCTTCTATGTATAGCTTATGTTTGATACGGAGACTTTACGGCTTCCCAAATTGCCTCAAGGAACAAGTGGAGAATCTGACACAGATGAAGAACTCTATGAAGTTTGTGTTTGCCTTGATGGGCGGCTGTACCTAGCGCTGGCTGATGAAGTTTCTAATTGCTTAGCCTTTAGTCAGGTTTGTCAATAAAAACACTCTAAACAAGATACTTTCTGTGGACTTTTTTGATCAGGGTTTGTACCACTGAACATTGCTGATGGCAAGAATTTTGGAATTCTATGCAGCAGCAGTAGTGAGCTGAAAAGGGTAAATTTTACCGTATGTTTAAAATATGGTAAATCATTCCCATATCTAAATCTATATCTGTATCTGTAAGCTCACAGCAGCCGCTCCCAGAAAAGACACGGGACGCCAATCCGTAATCAATCAGGAAACCTTTACTACTGGAAATGCATACACAACGAAAGCCAGGATTGGCATACAGCCGCAGGTCAATCCCTTTTATACCCTCCCTCACAATTGAATCTCCCTTTCCCGCCAGCCAAGGATCCCGCGCAATGTTCCCCGCCATTTACCAACTGCTTTCCCCCAAGGCCACCAGCTGCACATTCTTATCAGCTCTCCGAGTCAGGACGCGGGTTTTTTGCGCCAATGTCCGAGGCCAGGAAACCGAGTCCTGACATATATCTATCTATGGAGCCCCCAGTGGTGCAGCAGGTTAAACTGCTGAGCTGCTGAACTTTTTGAATCTGGGGAGTGGGGTGAGCTCCCACTGTTAGCCCCAGCTTCTCCCAACATAGCAGTTTGAAAACATGCAAATGTGAAATCAGCGGGAAGGTAACAGCGCTTCATGCAGTCATGCTGGCCACATGACCATGGAGGCATCTACAGACAACACCGGTTCTCCAGCTTAGAAATGGAGTTGAGCACCACCCCCGAGAGTCAGACACGACTAGACTTAATGTCAATGGGAAATCTTTACCATGTATCTGTGTGTGCGCGCAGCTATCACACATATATCCACTATTATTAGTGTGAGAAGACCAGCATCTTTGTAATTTGGCTTATGTATCCTAATTCAGTCTGGAAAGCATTTGATTTAAATTATTGCAGCAATAATAAATAAAATTCTTCATGTATAAAAAATTCATTTGCGCACTTATGAAAATAGTTAATTGTTTTCTAAATGTTGCACCAATATTCTCCATCATGCAGCTGAGTGACTTCCGGTTGTACATTTGAGACAGCAAAACATCCAGTTATCAACAAAATTGGCTTCTGCTTCTGAATTGATATGCTTGTGCCAACAAGACAAGGACTCTATGACATAAGGCTGACTGCCTCCATGCTGAATCCCATGTAGAAAGGCTTTATGTATGGCTTGAATATATCCCTATTATTATTATTCAAACAACAATTTGAATATTATATAAAGACATATTATATAAGGGAGACCACTTTGTTACATCTTTGTATAGCATGGTATCCACAGGGGATCCTGGAGCCAAACCTGAGATTATTATAATGCTCCATTGTACATACTTTATAGGGTTCCTTAGTATCGTCTGTATCTACAGCACTTCACAGAATAACAAAAATCCTTCCCAAAGGTACGCATTTTGATAAAGTGAAGTACTGCAATCTATATAAAATGCTATGCAATCTCTCTTGTCCTCCCTTGCAGCTCAAGAGTAGAATGGATTTTCCTAGCTCCGTTACTGACAGGTGTGCAATACAGAAGATCATACATGTGGATGCAGCTGCCATGCTTCTCCTTAAGTCCACATCTGCAGGATATTAATGCTCAATTCCTGTGGCAGTGAGGAAATAACAGACTATTCGCAGCCTCAAGTGACTTCAGAATTCAGGAAGTAACTATGCAAAACATACATCTCTGACCAGCAAGAATGGTGCTCTTAGGGTTTTTTTTAAAAAAATAAGTACTAGTCCTTTCAAGAGGAGTCAGGTCAATGCAGATGAATTACTTAGCATTGTGCATTTCCTGCTTAAAACATGTGATTCAGTGTCTTCCACTAGACACTTCCACATCTATTTCCAAGACAACCCTTGAAAGAGCAATTCATTTAATCAGGAGGTGATCCAACTGTGGATAATACTAGATCACTGGTTCTCAACCTATGGACCCACAGATGTTTTGGCCTTGCAGCTTCAAAGCTTGGCTGGTTGCTGCCTGGGGGGGTCCTTTGTTGGGAGGTGTTAGCTGGCTCTGGTTGATTCTTGACTGGAATTCCTCTGTTTTTGAATGTTGTTCTTTAGTTAACATTTTGAGTTTTTTAATACTGGTAGCCAGATTTTGTTCATTTCATGGTTTCCTTCTGGAGCATGGCCACACAGTCCAGGAAACTCGCAGAAACCCAATGATTCTGGCCATGATTTTGAGTAGGAAAATCTAGAGGAGAGCAATAAGGCAGATGCTATGACTGCAAAATACCCCCCACAAATATACACTTAACATTGCCAGTGATCAACACATCATTCTGAAGAATGTTTTGAGTTTATTATTTAAATTACGGTATGGCACTTAGCAGCAGAAATAATAACATGGCTTTGAAATCAGAAGGAAGAAAGATTTCAAAGCCTAGATTCTGTTGAGATACTTTCCACATTGAAAGCCCTTTATTATTTATACTTAACTGAAGAACTTTTATCAACATTTTTAATTTTAGTATTGCAATAATTTTGGTGTCAACCTCTTTAATTTCAAATTCTTCTTTATTTTTACATTCTTTCAGCAAAATTATAGTTTCAGTGTACTAATCAGATAAATAATTACAACAGGTAATAATGGAACATAATCCTACCTACACCAAATTTATTGTACAAGTTCTCATGATTTTTTTTACAAATATTAAATAATTTACATGGCATTATCAAAAGTATTACAATTTACAAAAGAAAGCATGAACTAAAAATCAGACATCTCATGTGCCACAGTGTGAGACAAAAAAAGCTTAACATTGCAGCACCATTTAATATGTAATTTAAAAAAATTCCACTGTATACCAAAATATTTAACAAGTTCTAATGGTTTCAATAATGGCTCATGAAAAAAAACAATAACAACAAAACAAAAAGCTGAAGCAGGGTAGGGTAACTTTTGAAAATATGAGTTTTGGTGTCAGTTTTAAACACTGCAAGTAAAGTATTTTGCTAGGTAATGTCCATGCAAGTCTCCATGAAAGACATAAAAATGTCAAGAAAATATAAAGTAGGTTACAATGAAAATTTTCTTTTGCAGCCATTTAATGGTTAGGATTACAATACTGTGCTGTGTCTCTTGGTAACTTTCAATAACCTGTGATCTAAAACCGCATTATATCTGTAACAAGATTTGACAAACAAGTATTAACCCCTGATAGAAATGAATGTCCATGGCAAGACAAGTACATGGCACTGCCAAGTATTTTAGAGCAACTTTGTGTTCAAAAGATATTTGATCTCTTACCCAGTTTTGTATTAGTACACTGAAAAATGCCATCAATGGGAAACATAAAATTGAATGGATGCAATCCAAAGATATATGTGCATACACACACATACACAAATTTTACCAACCACAGTTCTAAGCTTTGGTTATATAAAGTGCAGTTTGGCCCTACGAATTCTATCACTGTACCGTATACCATGTTTACAGCTTAGTCTCCAATTTTTTAAATAGTTGTTTTAGTTTTGCTAATAAAAGGCTCAGTATTTTTCAAAGATATGTAAATTAAATTTCTGTCTTACACAATTGAGGCTTGAACAAGATATTCAATAGACTGAGTTCTCACTGAACTTTTGCAAAGCACACAAAAGACACACTATGTATTAGAAAAGTGTTAGGACAGAAGGAATTTTGTTAATCTTTCCCTTGACACTTACTTACCCTCCGCTCCGCCCATCCTCAAATTTCCCTCCCCAAATTACTTTCCTCCAGACCCAAGAAGTTGATGCTCATTTAGTGTGTCAATGGAAACGGTTTAGGTCAGTGGTTGTCAACCTTTGGGCCTCCAGGTGTCTTGGACTTCAGCTCCCACAGTTCCTAACAGTTAGTAAGCTGGATGAGATTTCTGGGAATTGAGGTTCAAAACACATGGAGGCCCAAAGGTTGGGAACCACTGGTTTAGGTGATGGGAGATTACAAGAAATAAGAGATGTATCATGGAACTATTCAAATTATCTCTTGCTCAGCACTTTTCTATTGAAAACTATACCTCTTTCCACTGCAATAGTTCTATTCGGCAAAGCTTATTCAGCACTGATGCAGATTCTCAGACTCAGATCTATTGTAGGTCATTGTGAGTTTGGCCCAGATCATGACTAAAATACATATATTGCATTTATAAGCTGCTATAAATAACCTCCAAACTACAGTAGCTGCACAAGTAAATCACATTTTATCCCATAACATTCAGTATATGATTCTTGCTAGCAAAAATTGAATTCAGGCGTGCTCTTACCACATTGGTAGTTATCTCCTTGGGCATAAAGGAATGACTTCCACTACTATATCTCACAAAGGTACATCCTGATTGCATGACACATCAACAGTAAAATGCCACCAATAAGTAGCTTAGATAAAAACTGTGGCTGGAAATATAGTACATATAGCATACGTGTATGTGTGTATGAATTCACCATGCCGTTAATCTCTTCCTCATACTTTTTGCTGTATAAAGTTTTCAAGTTTTATGATAATACATGCTGTACACTCCATCACTCTCATAGCAACCTCAGAAGTGAACCTGTCATTTGGAATCTGTGGAAAAGGGAGGAGGTCTGGATAACGAGTTTTTAAGCTATCTACTCCATAGGCCTCCAATGTGTGGACATCATTTGTAAGACCTTCAAGTTGCTGGCTGTATTCTTCAATTTTTTGTGCTAGAGCAGCTGGTTTTACATCCTTATCTGACTTGCCCCTTACAGCATAATCAGCAGCAATCAATGCTAACTTGGTAGACAAGTAACATTTAAAGCACACCCATTCGTTGGCATTCTTATGAAGATCATTTCTCGCAGCTGAAAAGTTGGATCTAGCTTGCCTCAACCACCTACGTGCTTCAACAGGATTTCCAACAGACTTGAATGTAGGTGGCACAAAAAAACGCTGAGAATATGAAGGACCCGTTGAAGGTGGGCATTTTTCTTTAGACTGCTGTCTTTCAGATTTGTGACTTGTTGCTTCCTGATTCCATGAAGTATAAAA